AGATATAAACTAAACTTATGATTTCTAAGGCTTGAAAAATATTCACTCACATTTATGGTTCACTTGTATGATTAAAATATCCATTCTGTCTTAAAATAACATTGTGGAGTCAACTAAAAAGAAAATGCTATATTGTCATTCTAATGTACAAATAGGTTAATAATAAAATATATTTCAACTTGTGTTGTCAACCTAATTTTGCACTAGGTTGGCAATGTAGAATTTTCCCAAGTACAATGGTGTTGCTTTATAGTATAATTTTGCATATGAAGTTAAAATATTATTAGCTTTTTCCTTTTTCCCAAAAGAAATATTATTAGCAAAGTTTGAGTTGTATTACAGAGCTATATTAGAGCATTTCCAGTGTGGGACTGTTGAGTCCAAAAAACATGTGCTACATCAAAACGTGGGAATAAAAAGTGCAGTCAATTGAGGGAGAAGACAGACTTGAGAAAATTCAATGGAATTTACCTACAAAATATTTTATGAACATAAATTTATAAGTCTAAAATAATTAACTACCTATTATATCTAATTGCACTATCATTCGATTTAATTTGTTGTTGTAGAAAATAAAATAAAAATATTCTACAAACATGTTAGTTATTTATTTATTATGAAGAATGTTTGTGTGTTATTCATTGCCCATGTTTTTAAATTATTTTATATCTAATTTCACTACTATTAGATTTAATTGTTTTATGTATAAAATTTAAGATAAAAAAATTTATAAAATTCAGAAGCATACAAACACTTATAATTATTTTAATTTGTAAAGTATAAATTATGAAAATTAGATAAACAATTTAAACTAAAAATATTTAATAAAAAATAAAATAAAATTTTATAAAGATACCTGTAAAGTACAAACATCTCGTCCTTTTAATTGTTTGTATTAAAATAAGTGTTAAGTCATTCAGTTAATTTTAATTTTAAATGGTCAAGACATTGACTCCTAACTGTTTGTATTAAAATAAGTGCAATGAAGTTGAAGCTAAATTTAAGTCATTCAGTTAAATTTAATTTTAAATGGTCAAGACATTGACTCCCAAATTAAGTGCTGAAGTTGCATACAAATTTCAATGTCAAGTACTCATTTGACATGCATTAGACATTGCCATTTTATATTATCCCGTGAAATCAATTTTTCAATGTAAAGGATGGAGTGATGCTCTTTCAAGATGTGAAGAATGGAGCACAGAGATGCTCTTTCAAATTAACTCCGTAATAACAAGAAACTGATTGATGAATACCAGAAAAAGTAAATCTATATATATTGAAAAAGAGAGGTAAATAAATCATTTGTGGAAACTTTTAAAAAATTGGTCAACAACTCCATTGACTTTCCATTTGTAGAAACTAATTTGAAAATCCTTTCAAAATATATGTTTTTTTTTTCCTGTTTTTTATGAATGGATATACCTTTAACGTGATAAGATATATACATGTGATTGCATATTTTGTTGTTGCATCCCAAAAATCATGGTATTTAAAATCTATCCAAATACAATCCATAATTATCTTATCACTTTTGTTAATAAAAAATTGTATAAAAGGATATTCACTACCACCATTACAACTCATCATTCACGAGTTCAGAGAAAAAAAAAAGACAGAGAATAATTTTTCATCGCATAAACAATATAATGCTTCCAGGCTGGGGTAAACTTGATATATAATGCTTCCGTACGTTAACAAAAGAAACAAACCTTTTTTTGCGTCTGAGAGCAGTCCGCATTATTGAAACCCATCACGAACGGGAGAGCTATAACGCATTTTCATGATGAACAGGTAATATTTACCTTTTTTATTTCAATTTTATATAATTTAAAAAATTATTTTAATTAATATTTATAACAAACCTTTTTTTGCGTCTGAGAGCAGTCCACATTATTGAAACCCATCACGAACGGGAGAGAGCAGTCCGCATTATTGAAACCATCACGAACAGGAGAGTTGTAACGCATTTTCATGATTTGTTATTTCAATTTTATATAATTTAGAAAATTATTTTAATTAATATTTATAACAAAACATTATTGAAACCATCACGAACAGGAGAGTTGTAACGCATTTTCATGATGAACAGGTAATATTTACCTTTGTTATTTCAATTTTATATAATTTAGAAAATTATTTTAATTAATATTTATAACAAACCTTTTTTGCGTCTGAGAGCAGTCCGCATTATTGAAACTCATCACGAGCAGGCTGGGGTACACTTGATATATAATGCTTCCAGACTGGGGTACGTTNNCNNNNGNNNC